TGTTATGTCCCTGATACTTTCTGAGCAGTTACCCCGCATACCGTGTAAGCTTTTTCTCGTAGCACAACGTATTTGGGGAGCAAAGTCATAGGCCTGACTTCGTGAGTGTGCAAGGCATCTCTCTGTTTATCTTTATTTGGTATAATTGACATAAAACTTATAGTTTCAGATACACAACGTAACGATTCAATGTTTGTATATTGGGAAATAATCACCACTGTAAGTCCGGTTAACATTCATCACTGTATGTAGTTGCAGGTTCTCATCATGTGATGAGAACTTTTAAGCTGTGCTGTTAGCAGCTCTCAGATATGCCGTGCGGTGTCACCGACTAACCGCCCCGCTGTCCTTTTCAGCGAGGCGCCTCTTCCCCATAGCAGGGTTCCCTCCTCCCTGGGTGGATGCGCAAGAGCTCTACTCTTGGAAGATCACTCTTTCTTTTGAAGATAAAGATTATGGCACCGCAGTTCATTATGTGGGGTTTTTAAATACATATACATACATATTTCTAGTATTTAATGCAGGCACATGAGAGGCGACCATAGCTTTAGAGGTTTGGCAGCCTGTTCTGGGATTTCTGATCAGATTGAATTCACATACCTGAAATCAAAAGTTTGTTCTCCAGTCTCCTTTGCTTTTGGTCAGATACCAGCAGCTGCTGAGTGACATCCACCAGTGCTACCTGGGTCAGCGGGAGCTCCTTCTGGGCCCTAGTATTGCTTGTGCTGTGACGGAGTTAACCAGCCAGAATAACAGAGATCACTGTGCCTTGGTAAGTTCCTGCTTGTTTTGGTTTCGTGTTAATCCTTCCTCTGAAATATTTGGATGCCATATGGTTTCCACATCAACAAATGTAAAGAATTTTTCTTTCAGTTATGACAAATATACTTTAATAATTAGCATTCAACTTGGCAAAATATTCTCATTTTGATCTATTTTTGAAGAGTCACGAATAAATATTGTTCCTTGAAAGATGAAATTCAAAGTTTGTGGATTTATCTCTTAGTTTTTGTTGAAGCGCTTTTTTGTTTAGTGTGGTTTTAATTCATACTATAGGAAAATATTTAAAGATCCTTTTTTTTTAAATACCTCATTCAGCTAGAAAAGCAATTTCATTGTCCAAAGTTTTGAAAAAAAAGCATGAAGAAGAAAGTAAAAATCTTTCATGTTCACATTATGCAGTGAAAACCAACCATTTTCTGTGTTTCAATAAGTTGTTTTATGAATATGTGTGTAATCTTTGCCAACACAGTAATTTGCTTTATTTTGTAAACGCCAGCATTGTTGTGTGTCCTTAACTGTAGGTGGTGTGTGTTTGTTTCCCACAGGTTCGCAGTGGCTGTGCCTTTATGGTCCATGTGTGCCAGGATGAGCACCAGCTCTACAGTGAATTTTTCACAAAGCCAACACCAAAATTAGAGTAGGTGGTACACAGAATCGAACTCAGATCTCATGTGCTAATGACCGTGATGGCTGATTGTATTATGGGAGTATTCTTAAGTTAACTGCAGAGTGTTTTAACTTTTGTGGGTGTGTGAACGCAATATTGTTGGGTGTGACAGTGGTTATTTATTTTAAAATAAATGTACAGTTTAAAGGCCAGCATGCTTCACATCCTTTATAATATACTTATGGAGACAGTGTGGCGTGGCAGTAAGAATCCATATAGGGAACTAAGTCTTTGGATCTACATTCTTTTATTTCCACTAAGTATAATAAATTCTCGTAGTTAAAAAGTCCTGTGATTCTAACTAATGAAAGACACTGAAAAATACAGATAAGACTTAATATCCTTTTAAGAGTTTTTTCTCAAAGTGTCTTTCAGAAGCACTGTAAGTTGCTTTTGGTTTCTTCATAGTGGCTGTTTTGACCGTGTCCTTTCTAATGGGGAGGAGACAGGTGTGTCTTATGGTTCTGATTGGGTCAATCACATTTGATGTAATACGTATAGAGAATACTGTTGACAATATGAAGAATATAGACAACCTGATTTTTTCTTTTCAAATGTTTTTGTCAAAATACTTGTACGTCCGGAGGACTTCGAGTATTGTTTATCTAAATCTGTAAGCATTCAAGAATTTTGGACTTGTCTTTTCTGGAGAAGATAGTACCATTTTATTCATAGCGATGTAGATTATAAAAGGATAATTAAGTCTCCCGAAGTATTTTTTATTGCTTTTGGAAGGACATATACAAAATTATTGCTGAAATAAGTACAAGTTGTAATAAATTGACATTTACCTGGGGGCAGCTAATTTGCATTGACTGCTGATCGCTTATTGATTCTGAGCTTTTAAAGCAAAAATACTTTACAGAATCAGAATTACTTTCGGCCTTTCACTCCTCAATATATAATGTTCCCCATACTATTTTCCAGTAGAATTTTACTATTTTTATTGGCTGGAAGAAATCAGTGATGCCTTTTAAACTATTAGAAAATCCTGAAAAGATGACTACTAAACCATGTTTTATTCCTTTATTTTAGTGAACTTTTGGAGAAACTGTGTGTGTCATTGTATGATGTCTTCAGGCCATTGATCATTCATGTTATTCACTTAGAGACTCTTTCGGAACTTTGTGGGATTCTTAAAAATGAGGTGCTCGAAGATCACGTACAGAACAACGGTAAGTGGCGGGGTGAGCGGAGGTGGTAATCCCAAAGTCTTTCAAAGTGTATCTGGGGCTCAGTGAATTTGAGAAAGATGAGCTCCTGCTCCCCCGACCCTGCCACCTCTATAAAGTTAATATTTTTGAAGTGGGGGTTGATGCCTTATTCCTTTTTGAATCAAGTTGCATCTTATTCTGTGACTCAATGTACAAATTAAACGGGGAAAGAATTTTGAAATCTGGGCAAAATTAGTAATAAAATAATTACAGTTAAACTCTTCTTTCTGGCATCTGAACTCCAGAGAAAATGGACCACCATGTTGGCACGCCGTTAGCAGAAAACGTAAAGTAATTACTGTACTGTGTAATCTTGATTAAAAAACAGGCATTATTTTAGCGTACATACACAGTAATGATTTATCTTTTTGAAATTACAAATGAAGTGAAATTCTCTGAAACAGTTTTTACTTTATCTGTGTGATACGATCTTCAATATTTGATTCGATTTTTCCTAATGATACATGGGTATCTTTAAAAAATACCCTTCAAGTAATTATTTTACTGGCAGAAATGATTTGACTTTCCTTAGGAGATACTATAGGTCTGTTACTCTTCCAATGGTGGTTATTCTACATTTAGTTTATCCTAAGATGAACATTTTCTCACATTTAATGCTTCTGAATTAAAGATGATTTTTTAAATTAACATGAATACTTATGCTATTGTGTTGTGTCTCCAACTCCCCAGCCCTTGGAAAATTGTCATAGAATTACTGGTGTGTCTTAACATTGGTGGCATCTTAGAAATGAGGAAATCCTGCATAGACTCATATCTCGTTTTAGTTTTTTACTCACTTCGTGAAAACATTAACAAGTCATTTTAGTGTCCGCGGGAATCAATTTATTTGTAAAACGGGATGGTCACCCGGTTAGTAAGTTGCCTTAACTGTCTCTCAGGATGGATCTGAAGCTGTACGAAAGAACTTTTAAAAGCACTAAGTACGTTAAGTCAGATTTTATCATTCATATTGGTAATGAAGTAACGTTACAGAGTCCCAGGCAGAAGGCGTAAGGGCAAATTTATTTCCCAGTTTTAAATTTGAAGAAATTAAAAGACATGTATTAAATTTTTCTGAGGTCATTAAGTCATCCTGAAATACAGCCACAGTCCCCGAAGCGAAAGTGGGTTGTTCCGTTACCTGACAATTCAGCAGTGCTTTTGCTTGTTTCGAGAAAGCGTTTTTTTACATCTCAGTGATCGGATGACGGCACTTTTTTGTCAGCTGAACAGCTAGGGGCGTTTGCAGCTGGAGTAAAGCAGATGCTGGAGGACGTGCAGGAGCGGCTGGTCTACCGAACCCACATCTACATCCAGACGGACATCGCCGGCTACAGACCGGCTCCTGGCGACCTGGCGTACCCCGACAAGTTGGTGATGATGGAGGTGGGTTCTCCTCACTGGCCCCGCCCCCTCCACTTCCGGGTGTTTCATGTTCGTTAAGATAGGACTTTTCTTTTTAATTCTCACTCAGAACTTAAGATCCAGATAAGCTTGCCACAAAATCATAGAAAATAAAATTTAAAAAAATCAAACAGAAATAATTCGTTAGGTTGTCTTCCCTTCAAGTCGTGTTTTATAAACATTCTGTTCAGTTCTCTTTTCCAGGCAGTGTGCGTTGTCAGTTTTTAAATCGAATGAGTGCTGAGTGCTCCCTGCGATCGCGCTTTTTTCTTGGAAATGGCACGGAAGGGGTGGATCACGCAGGAACCACCCTAGTTGATGGTCACGTAGTAACCACGTGTCATGCTCTCCTATAGAATCCCTGGAGGCCGTCACCTCAGAGTTCTGCAGTTCCGATGTTCAGTTTATGCTTCGAAGACTTAGGCTCGTCTCACTGATCTTGCGCTCACATCCGTGTCTTCCTTTCCTTTGCGTGCCGGACAAAGCTTACACGATGCCTCAGATACCAGTGCTAACACCGCATCAGAGCCCAGAACATTTTAAGTGGAATTTTCGATTATGAGCAGGAGTAGAATGACGCGGTGAACTCCCATGGACCGGCCCCGTGTCCACGTGGCCTCGCGTCACGTGGCCTCGCATCACGTGGCCCTGCCTCTTCCTCCCCGTTCTGCCCTCGCTCGTTTCTAGAGCAAATTCTAAACACCATCTCATCATAAATGCTTCCATCGGTAACTGTGAATGGCAGGGGCGCTTTTATTTCACACAACCATGATACTGTCATCACACCTAAAAGCATTTCTGGTTCCTTAATGTCAAATATTCAGTTGACTCTAGAATTTTTTCAGGTTTACGAGATGTTAGTGGCTTGGCACATTTACTCTGTTTTTTCGTGCGCATATGTGTTATTCTTCAGCTGTTTGAAAATGAGTTCCAGACATCGTGGTACTTCATTCCTGAGTACTTTGGTTCCTGTTCTCCTAAGAGTAAAAATGTTCCCCACATAATCACAATGCAGTTTACATCTACGAAAGTGAACGTTAATTCAGTCATATTGATTATATACAGTCCATGTGCGCATTTCCTCAGTTGTCCTTCAAAGATCTTCTCTAACCAGATCAAAAAATAAAAAGTGGGATCCAGTCACAGTTACCACGTCGCATCGGGTCGTTATGTCTCTGAACCAAGTCCAGGCTCCCCCCTCCTTCTCTTTTTTTCCCTACGACATTGAGTTTTTGAGGCGACGAGCCGGTTTGATTATCGAATGCACCACATTCTGGACGTGTCTGATTGCTTCCCTCATGTGTAGATTCAGGTTAAACACGTTATTTTGCAAGAATGCTGCACAGTCGATGTCGTGCACCCTACTTCATCACACCAGAGGCACATGATGGCGGGCTGTCCCCTGCCCACGGTCCTGGCTCCTTTCCCTGGGGAATGGTGCTGGGAATCGGGCGTGGGTGCTGGGCGTGCTCGTCGCTGTGGGGCGTCGGTCCTTCTGCGGCCGCGCAGCTGCGGGAGGGGAGAAGCACCTGCGCATCCGCTCGCTGTGCCCCCCGATCCCGTCGCTGTGCTCCCCCGCCAGAGCTCACTGCGTGGGCGTGGCGGGGCCTGCGTCTGCTGCTCAGCCCGCTCTGTCGTGTGCTTTCCTTCCCCTCCCTCGTTAGCTGGATACTTTGTTTCTAAATTTAAAGTTGAAAATTATGCTCCTCGTATGGGTCTCATGTGTTTGAGCTCCCAGTAGACGCCTTGTAGTGGCTCCGAAATCAGTGTGGTTCAGAAAAGGCAAGTTTTTCACTTCCACGTGGCGTTAGTCTGTTTATTTATTACTTGGATTTTTTTTAGCATGTTCATATTGCCAAACAGCTGAGATCTGCACTTTAATTAATGTTCCTTCTCATTTCTCTATACAGCAAATCGCTCAGAGTTTAAAAGATGAACAGAAGAAGGTTCCTGCAGAAGCTTCGTTTTCGGATGTGCGGTTAGAGGAAACAGAGCCTAATAATCCGACAAAACCTGGTATGTCGTGATGTTTTAACTCCCAGCTGGTATTTATCCATGTGATAAACTCGCATCGAGGCCTGGGCACGTCCCAGGCGTGGAAACAGCTTGTGCTTTTAAGGAGCCCACGCTTCAGTGGGGCAGGTTGATGGACTTGGTGGGGACACGCCACAGGTGCACACAGGGCAGCCGTGGACTGTGTCAAGGGCATCAGAACCGTGAAGGGAGGTGAGCTTTGACCGCAGGTCGGTGGGCTCAGCGAGAGGCGGGTGTCCGAAAGCCGTAGTGTCTGTGACGATGAGCTCGAGACAGCTGGGTGGTCAGGTTCGTCAGGGTGGAGGAGCGTGGAGGGTGGCACGCGGCACTGGAGACCGTGTTTGCCTGGGTGTGTGTGGGCGCAGATCGTTTTTGGGAGAAGCAGGTAAAACAGGCCAGATCGTGGTACGTGTCAAGTGATAGAGTCTCTTGGACTTTGAACTTCAGATAAGATACAGTGTATCAGGGAGGTTGCTCCACTGGATTTGTGTTTTGTAAATGTGTTGGGTGCTTGGGGCCGGGGTCAAAAAATGATCAGAAATGAGTGGGAGAGCTCAGGCTGGGGCGCACGTTATGTGGGAACAGAATTGTCCAGGAATAACGCTGCGGACTCATGGTTACCTGGACAGCGAGCTGGATGGGAAGTAGGAAGTAGGGTGTCCCTCTGTGCCCCCCGCACCAGTAAAGGTGATACTAAAGCCCAGGTCCCCATGGGACTGGCTGGGAGTGGGAACACAGACTCTGTGGGCTTTGAGGAGCCCCAGCTGCCCCAAGTCCTTAGCTATAGGTGTCATCAAGTATTCTGAGTCAACTCTATAAAGAGCCGGTGCCCCAAATCCAGATCGTCAAGCAGCCTGGGTATTCTCCACCTGACAAGGCCATTTTCTCATGCTTGCTAGGACGAGAGACCCACAGCGGGTTGACGTCTTCCGAAATAGAGTCTCCGCCTTGTCCTGGTATGCCTCTCGGTCCTAGCGTGCGCTTTGCGCCTAGCGCATGCCTTAATCCTGGTACACATCTTCAAGGGTTATCGGAGACACCACAGTGCACCGCTTTCTGGCCAGCCCAGCCTGGTACCTCTCCCTTCCCCCAAAAGCCGGTTCTCTCACTCAGCCCTGGCTTCACGCTACGGTATTGCTGGCAGGAATGTAGAGACTGGTTAGGACAGCGTTGCTTTTGAGAGAAAGGAGGTTTGGAGCGGGGGATGGAGAGAAGTGTGTAGATAAAGGGCGTGGTCGAGGGTGAGTCAGCAGAATTTGATGACACACTAGACGTGAGCTGAGGAGGACTGAGGAGGGTCCTTGTGGAACCACAGAGGGCGCCTGTGTCCTGTGGATCTAGAGCTGTGCTGTCCAGTGTGGTAGCCACCTGCCGGTGAGTGTGACATGTGGCTGGTCTGAACACATCGTGACTGTAAGATACACACCAGGTGTCAAAGACTGAATGCGAAACAAAGAATGGAAGATATCTTATCAGTAATTGTTATATTGCTGCTTACATGTTAAAATGAGGCTGTTTTGGATACACTTGGTTAAATAAAATATGTTAAACTGAATTCCACTCGTTTCTTTTCACTTTTTGACTGTGTGACATTCACAGTTGTGGCTTGTGCATTTCTCTTGGACGGCGCTGCTCTAGAGCTGTAGAGAGGGGCCTGGTTCAGAGCCAGAGAGTCGCTGCTTTGGGCTTGTGTGAGGTCACGCCAGGGCAGAGGCAGGGTGGCAGTGGCGGACATCTGGGGCGAGTGTCTCGCCAGATGCCAACATTAAGGGCCAAAGGAAGCAGAGGCGCGTCGCGGCCAGCCGAGAAAGGACAGCAGAGCAGGGGTTCGGAGGCAGGCGGGCGTGGGGGTGGGGTGCCATAGAACCCAGAGGAGGACGGGTTGGCAGTGTATTTCGAGTACACGGGTGAGAAACAGGAAGTCAGAAGGACACCGTAGTCAAGGACTGTGGGCAGAGCTTGGTCGGTGGCGAGGGATGGAGGTGGGGGTCTGGCGTGAGAGGGTCTGTAAGTGGCAGGGAGGGTGGGCCTCGGCCAGAGCAGCCGCGATTCAGTCTCCTGTTAGCACCGCCCCCTCGCCCTCCTCCACGGGCTCCCCGGTTCCCACGTGACCGCGTAGCGAGCTGCCTCCTTTTCTAATGGCTGCGCGGTGTCCTATAACGCGCACACTGTTCATTCCACAAAGATTACCCGTCACAGTTTGGGACAAACAGCTGGTCGAGTACGTGAGAACACACCCGAACACCTGCGTATGTGCTTAGTGTGTCACGTCTCACCGCCGCTGACGTAGCTTTCTCTTGGCGGGCCTGATTAAGGGTGAGGCCGCGAAGGCAGGTGCCTCCGGCTGATGCTGGCTGACCAGAAGAACTCTTTACAGTTGCTCTGCAGACAAGCAAGCCACGGATGTGGAACGTGTCTCCTTTTTTTGTTGGGCTCCTAGGTTCAGCGGGATCGCTCAGCGCGAGGCCACAGACCACGCTGTCGCCAGCCGACCTCCATGGCATGTGGTTCCCGACCGTGCGGCGCGCCCTCGTCTGCCTCTCCAAGCTCTACAGATGCATAGATGTGCGTGCGTGAAGTCTTGTGCTCTGTAGGCTGCGTGCCCTGTCACCTGAAATGTTTTCAACATTCATTTTATTTTAAGATGTTGCTACACTGTTTTGCTTAGTATTAGATTAAAGTCGTGATTTTTAGATACAGAGATAATTTTAACAGTCTAATTTAGGGATTCTTAACCTGAGCATTCTGTAGTCCCGTAGAACTCACAAGTGGGCTTTGGGGGCTCCGTGAAGACCTTGGTGTCGTAGGTGAGATCGTAGTGGGTACCTACGTCTATGTCTTTCTGAGAAAGGCTATAGCTTTTATTGCTTCTTGTAGGGGGTCTGTGACCACAAAAAAATTTAAAACTACCGATTAATTCATTTGTCTTAGTTTATAGATGAAGAAAAAGAGATGCAGAAAGGTTAAGTGCTATGTCCAGTGTCGCATAGGTGTAATAGACATTTAGTATAACAGTTAGTATAAAATGCAACTACTTTAATTTTATACTCAGTTTAGATCAGCTTCCTTAGCAAATAGTATGAAGATTACATGTTTTGCTAACCATGGACTGATTTTAGTTATTTGCTGATATTAGCAGAACTATTTTATTTTATTTTATTTTTTAGCACCAACTTATACTGTGCATTGATTTCAGGTAACAGTTATTTTAAGCATTCGGTTTAATGATATGATTCATTATCAGTCCTTGAAAGATCAGATTTTACTACATTTATTTACTGTTAGAGGTCTGCGGCTGAACCTAAAGTTTATAAAATTCAGTGGTTTTGATGTACTTTAAAAAATTAATTTGACGACGGCCATGCCACTGTGAACGAGCCCAATCCCCTCTGATTTCGGAAGCTAAGCAGGGTTGGGCCTGGTTAGTCCTTGGATGGGAGACCACCTAGGAAGACCAGGTGCTGTAGGCAAAAAAATAAAAAATAAAAAATTAATGATTGTTTTTATTTTATTTTTTAGAAGTTTTTTTAGGTGATGCAACCCTTGGTCGACTTCACAGATTGGAAGGACCTTGTCAGTTTACAATCCCTTGTTTTTAATTTTTTTAATTTTTTTTACACCTACAGCACCTGGTCTTCCTAGGTGGTCTCCCATTGAGGTACTAACCAGGCCTGACCGTGCTTTAGCTTCTGAGATCAGATGGGATCGGGCTTGTTTAGGGTAGCAAGACCGTAGACTAAATTGATGGTTAACAACCGAAATAGCACGTAAAGAGAAGTGATTAAGTACCACAGTCATGTCGTTAGTTGTCCAGATGCCGCTGTTTCAGAGGGGTATGCGTCTCCCTGTCACTGAGATGCTCCGTCCTCAGGGCCCCAGGTCCTGACGAGGTGGCACCATGTTTCCTTGGCTCAGTGGAGGGCACACCACTTGGGGTCTATTTGAAAGTGCCTTTTGCCCATTCCTGGGACTTTCAGGGGTGAGGCCAGATCGCCTCTACAGACTGAGGTGTGTCAGCCTTTTTGCCCAGCCGATGAGATCTCTTCTGGAGGGAGGCTGGACACTAGTGTGACCCCCCCAGGTTCTCTAGTAGGGGTATTGCATGATGGCATCAGACTGGGATTCAGAAACTCCCTACGGTGGAGCCACAATCCCATGGGAAATATGCAGGGGGCATATTCCCTGCAGGGTCCCCTGTCATCACAGCCCCGAGCGAAGTCTCCTGGATGCTTAACAGATTGTAGCCAAACTGCAGGTCGGCCAAGGGCATCGCTGTGCCTGTATTTATTTTATGCCCTAGGCATGCCTGTTATTTTTCGCCTGGCTTACATTCAGCCCTTACCCCTCTCTGTCTTCCCCACCAAAGGCGAGGAAAGACCAGTCCAGTGAAGACCCCAGTACAGCTGAGCAGGAGAAAGAGGGGTTCTCAGTCTCAGCCGCCCATCTTCCGCCCTCTTGAGACAGGGTCGTTGACCCAGCAGGAAGCCGCCCGATCCCTCCCCGCTGCAGTAGCCTCATGGGGACGGGGAGGAGAGCAGTGCACAGGGCGGATCCAGGGCTGCGTCGAGGCTGGGCTGGGCCCGGGACCGCGGCCTGGCAGTAACTGCTCGGCCCGCAGTCACCCGTTCCAGTTTCATCTCGGGCGGGATGGATGCCGGGAGGGCAGCGAGGGGACTGGCAGGAGTCCCTGCGCTGGCCACATGCCACCCCTCTAGGAAGACGGAGACACGACAGTTAAATTAAGGACCATTCTGGACACACTGTTTTGTAACCTGCATTTTTTTCACTTAATTATATTTTATGAGAATTTGACCACCTCCTTTAGCGTTTTTGGTTTCATTCACAGTGTCGTGTCATTTAGATTTACTAGTATTTTGTCAGCCCCTTCATTATTGAGCACTTATTTCCAGTTTTTTACTTTTAAATAATAGTACTGTGTTGAAGACCCACCTGCGTGAATCTTACAGAACAATACTGATGAATTTCTTGGGCTAGATTTACTGGGGGTTTGTTTTCAAGTTGGTTTTACGTATTTAAAAACAGCCTGCAACATGAGCTCATGTCGGAGTCAGAGCTCTGAGGCCCACGCATCACTGTTCTCCCAGCCTCTTGCAGAGCCTGGCGTGAACAGTAGCTGCTCAGGAAATATCGTGAAAGGGTCACGTGAGTGTTCTGAGAGCTGCAGATTCCGAAACTATAAACCGCGTGTTAGTCTAGGAAGGCTACATGGGAATAGGACACCCCAGTAACGCAAATTAAGCCAGTGGATGAGGGCAAGCCATCCTGACCTTATTTCTTATTCGTGAAGTGCTGCTACACGGTACGTTTCTCTTTTCTTCCACCAGAGGGCAGTGTTCCAAGGATTGTCCCAGGAAGCCTTGTCCGCCTGCATCCAGTCCTTACTTGGAGCCTCAGAGTCTATCAGCAAAAACAAGGTTTGATGAAGTGTTAGGTGAACTCTTGGTATCCATATAACATTGTGTTCTATGGCAGTTATTTATGGGCAGATAGATTAAAGCCCTTTGGGCAGTAGGAGTTTTTTGTTTAACCGATTTAATTTCAAGGCCCTTGGAGAGAAGCTGGTTGTATTTCATTGCAGTGCTAAGTAGAGACTACACAGTGTAAGAGAGATGCCTACTTTGCTAAAGTACCAAAGATGGTAATTAGGTTATAAATTTTACGGGATAAAGGTTTCTCGTTATGGCCTCAGCAGCTGGAGGAGGCGTGGGGCCGCTGGTTCCCTGCGATACCAAAACAGGGTTTTCAAGGAAACGTAGCCATTTAGAGTCATCCCTGCAACGCTGTTTTCTTTGTTTACTTATGACGATGTTTTAAAGGGCCGAGTGGCCTCACTCTTGGGAAGTCCTCCAGTTTGGGAGACAGGCAGTGTGGCCCTGTATGACTAGAAGCAGCTGACGTGACTTTATGACTTAGGGTTTTTCATCAGGGAGGGATCTGGGGCTGAGAACTGCTGGCACGTGCTTCTCCCACAGGCCCCTGAGCTTTTTAGGAAGCACAGCGTGGGCGGGAGCGTCGCTTGGCCAGTGCTCCCCGTCAAACACCTGCCGCCTGAGGGAGGGGGCTGTGGGCCGTTTCCAGCCCCGGCGTCTTTGCTGCTTGGAGTGTTCAAACCATTAGCCTCTGCAGACTTCCAGATGTCCAGACTTGGTTCCTAACCTCAAGGCTTTATAATTTATAAGATTTTTGAAAATCTCCTCACACGAGAATTCGGGATCCTGTTGCTGGGGACGTTCTCACTTTGAGACCACTACGCTCTCCCATTCGTGGGACGGAGAGTCGAAATGAAGTTTTGACATGGGGACGAGAGGGTGGCAGTTAAGTCACGGGCAGGCAGATTTCAGCCTCAAAAAGTTTTTCCAAGTCCGAGCTCTCATATTTTTTATAATAGGCGAAATACACGTAACATCGAGTAATGAAAACATACATTCGAAAATGTAACAGCATTGAAGGCTTTTGGGTGACTATGGATGATTTTTATTCCTTTTCCTTCACTATTTAAACATTTTCCCGATTTTCTACAGTGAGCATGTATATTTCTTAGATCGTCACGAGGAAAGAAAAACGTCCTAATTAAAAAAACGTTTATATGCTTATGCCGTCTTGTGCCACTGTGTCATTTTTAAGGGGGTTAAAGAGCCTTTTGATTATTCAGCCTTTGCCCTCATTGCCTCTCTTATCTAATTCTGTTCCCTGCATTTTATGAGGTGTTTAAGTATGAGGAAGCCCTCAGTTTGGTAAACAGTTAAACAAGTTAACTCATTTCCATGGCTGAGTGTGTGTACTTTTGCCTTTCAGCTTTTTATATTTTACTTTTTTATGAGTTCATTTGAGCCAAAGCAGTGACAGATGCCGGGGAGCAAGATCTCACATGCTCCCGAGAGTAACAATTTTACGGCTGCTTTTAGCATTTGAAATTGCGGGGCGGACATGGGGTAGGTGGCATGGAGGTGGGGGAGGCAAGGCAGGGATGGAGTACGGGACAGTTGAGATTATTTGCTCTCTTGGGGGTGGTTACGTCTCGGAAGGAGGGGTCTGCAGAGAGGCGCTTGCAGGTGTATTCACCCGGATGCTCGGAAGCCGTGGGCAGGGCCGGCTCGAGGCAGAGGTGAGCCTTTCGGTTGAGAAGCTGTCGGCCTGGGCGGGACCACCCACCGTGACTGCCCAGGCAGGAACTTAGGGTCAGAGCACCTGCGAGGTGACTCCGTAGAACCCTTTTCCGTTCCCCTTTTGGTCGTTAGTCAGTCCAGGGATGCACGATGACCAGCCGTCTGGTCGGGTGGTGTGGCCTTGGCGCCAGGAAGGGTCATTCCCAGGAGGTCTCAGTATCACATGGTCTTGCTGGCTGGGGGGGATGGGGCGGTACCGGAACCGTGGGGTCTGAGCTGAGGCCGAATTTGTCCCAGAAAGGGAAGGGCAGGTGCGTGGAGGGCGGTGGGTCTCGTGGCTTTCATCACGAAAACCGCTCTGGGTCATTTCTCTCTGTGAACTGTCGTGATCCGAGCTCCGCCTCTGGCTCGTGTGACGTTTACGTGAGCCACGAGGAGGATGAGCGGTCGAGGAGGATGAGCGGTCGAGGAGGATGAACGGTCGAGGAGGATGAGCGGTTATCTCA